ATGCTCACTGGCATCCCCGATGCCAACCCCAGTATCCTCCCCACCCAACCATCCACTCTATCCTAACTACCAAGTTTAAGGCCAAGGGTGGACCATATATGGAAGAGACAGTACCCTCATAAAACCAGAGGACTTAAAGAAATCCAGAATTAAAGAAATTCCAGAAGTTCTTGGAGCATGGGTTGATTAAAGCTGGTCAATATCCCTGCAACACCCAGATTCTCCCAATCAAGAAGCCAAACAAGGAGTATTGATTATACCAAACCATGGCCAGTATATAAGACAGTTATCCCCACCCAACCCATGGTTCCAAACCAATAGACTCTACTTACTCAAATACCTGGAGATGCCTAATACTATATCGTCCTAGACTTAAAAGATTTTTTTTTTTTGTATTCCCCTTCACCCAGCATACCAATACCTTTTTGCGCTTGAGTGAAGACACCAAGTTACTCATGAAGCCACACAATACACATGGGCCATGCTCCCTCAGGGTTTCAGATAGTCCTCAGCAATTTGGAAATGCCCTAGCAAGAGAATCAAGAACTGACCCTACACTGGTTCAAGTCCTGGCTGCTCCACCTCTGGTCCAGCTCTCTGCTATGGCCTGGGGAAGCAATATAAGGCAGTCCAAGTCTTTGGGCAACTGCACCTGGATGGGAGACCTGGAAGAACCTCCTGGCATCAGAATGGCCCAGCTCTGGCTGTTGCAGCCATCTCTGCCTCTGCTTCTCTGTAACTCTGCCTTTCAAATAAATAATCTTTAAAAATATTTTTTTAAAAAGAGAATTGACCCTAAAAAATGGCACACTTTTATTACAATATGAAGATGACTTGTTGATCCAGCTCCTCTTGATGAGATTCTGATTACATACTAATAATATAAAAACTTCAGGTCAGAGACATGGCACAGAGAGTAAAGCCACCATCTGTGATGCCAGCATCCCATACAGGCACTGGTTCACGTCACGGCTGCTCCACTTCCTATTCAGCTCCCTGCTGGCCTGGGAAAAGCAGCGAAGACAGCCCAAGTTTAGGCCCCTGCCACCCACATGGGAGACCTGGATGAAACTCCTGGCTCTTGGCTTCAGCCTGACCTAACCCTGGCCATTGAAGCCAACTGGGGAGTGACCAGTGGATGGAAGATCTGTCTCTCATTCTCTCTCTACAACTCTGAATTTCAAATATATAAACCTTAAAAAGAACTTTAAATTTCATAGGTATTTAAAAAAAGAATATAAATTCTTCCCCTCAAAAGCCCATATTTACTTACAAAGAGCCCAATATCTGGGTTTTTATTTTGTCCCGAGAATCCCATTCCCTAGCTGTTGACTGCAAACAACCTATTATTTCTCTACTAGTCCCTAAAACCAGAAAACATCTTCAGAGATTTCTGGGAATGAAAGGTTCCTGCTGTATCTGGATCCCAAATTATGAGCTCATGACAGAACCCCTAAATGAAGCACTAAGGGGCAAAGAGTGAGAACCTCTGTACAGGGACCCAGAACACCAGTGGGTGAGGCCCAACTTAGAAAAACCACTTAGTCTTTGTGGCTGTGAAAGATTGGGAACTGCCTCAGGAGTTCTGACTCAAAGGTAGGGTCTATCCAGAGACCGATGGGCCTTTCCGTAAGAGCTGGACTGTGTGGCTCAGGGAAGGCCCGGTAGCCTAAGAGCACAGTTGCCACTGCACTGTCAGTCAACAAGGCCTCTAAATTAATGACAGGACAATCCACAGAGGTACAAACACTTAACCAGGTGCAGACACTGTTAGAGATCAAAGGGGTGGGGGAGAAGAAAGATAAAAGGAAAAAAGCAAGTGTCCCTATTTACAGATTATCATGATTGTTTACTAAGAAAGTACCAGATAATCCAGGGGCCTGCGCTGTGACGTGGCAGGTAAAGCTGCTACCTGCAGTGCCAGCATTCCTATATGGGCTCCAGTTCAAGTCCCAGCTGCTCCACTTCCAATCCAGCTCTCTGCTATGGTCTGGGAAAACAGTAGAAGATGGCCCAAGTCCTTGGCCCCTGCACCAGCATAGAAGATCCAGAAGCTCCTGGCTCCTGGCTTCGGTATGACCCAGCCCTGGTCACTGTGGCCATTTGGGGAGTGAACCAGCAGATGGAAGACATCTCTCTCTGCCTCTGCCTCTCTGTAACTCTGCTTTTCAAATAAATAAATAAATCTTAAAAAAGAAAAAGATTAAATTCACTGGATTTAGGAATCCCTTTCTCTAGGTCTCTTTATTTTTAATAAGTGCTTTAACCACTTTCCCTAGAAGATCTTATGAAGATTTATTTATTTGGAAGTCAGATAGGCTCAATGGCCAGGGCTGTGTAAGGCTAAGGTCAAGAGCCAGGAGCTTCTTCCAGGTTTTCCATGTGGATGGCAGGGGCCCAAGTACTTGGGCCCATCTTCCGCTTTCCCGGAACATTAGCAGGGAGCTGGACCAGAAGTGGAGCAGCTGGGACACAAACCAGTGCCCACACGGGATGCAGCACTGCAGGTGGTGGCTTTACCCACTGCACTACAACACTGGTCCCTCTTTTTTTTTTTTAAAGGACTCAACAAAAACAATTTAAGTATTTCATGCTATCTACTTATCAACTCATGGCATATTATTATCTGTGAAGAAACAGACTGATCCCAAGTTCCCTTCCCATGAATGTACCAAGAAAAAGCTTTGTTTTGATAGGATGACTATCAGAGTTAGAGTGACTTTACAATTTGCGGTCACTCTTGTGCCAACTCTGATCTACCAAGAATTTTTAAGAGCCTCTAGTTTTTTTCTAGGTGCAAAAATTTAGATTTCATTAGAAAAGATTTCAGTTCCCTTCAGTATCCTTCATAGACTTCTCTAATTCTGCTTAATATTTTAAGTTCTCCATGATTTCTTCTACTTTACTCTTTCCCAATATCACTTCTCACCACTGGTGTATGTCGAGAAATAGTGCTTCAACCACTTTCCATAGAAGACCTTATGAAGACACTAGAGAGGAAAATACCATATTTCCTATTACTTTCTATAGTTAATGATTCCCAATTCTGTATTTCAGATCTGCTCCTCTGAGGTTCAAGCCCATTTACGTTTGTTCCATATACTGCTCCTCATTCAGCGACTTCTAGTTCAGTGAATGACTCCAACATGGATCTGGTAGCTAAAGTCAGAAACCCACAGACAATCCAATCTCTCTCTTCTTACACACCTCTAGCTATCACAACCTGTACAAGTATATCAGGAATATCCGTACTGTTACCTCCACAAGCCGCACTTTCTTCATTTCTCTCTCAGCTTTCTAAAAATCCACCCTTTAGTAATTGAAGATGAAACTCGATGAAGGGCAGGATGGGAGAGGGAGTGGGAGAGAGGAGGGCCGCAGGAAGGAGGGAGGTTGGGGGCGGGGGAGCCACAACAATACAAAGGTTGCACTTTGTAAATTCACATTTATTAAATAAAAAAAAAGAAAAAGAAAAAAAATCCACCCTTCATAACGCCGCCAGAGTGAACTTTCTAAAACCAACATCTGGCCATGTCATCCCCTCATTTAAAACCCTCCCAGGGAGCACCCTTGTCATCTCTTGCTAGGTGACACCACAGGATGCATCTGGAAGTGCCTCACCAACTGCCAGCTCCATGTTCCTGATTTCTCAGTCTCTAGAACTCCACTGGACCACTAATCTGCAGGCGCGCATTTCCCCTTGTATTCCTTTTATATGTTGTGTTGTAGCCAGAGGGTCCTCACAAGACACAAGCACCATGCTGCTTGGATTTTTCCAGCCACTAGAATCATGTGCCAAATATACCTCTTTTATTTATAGAGAACAATTTTTCAAAAAGTTCTTGGAAAGAGGGAATTTAAAAACAAATTTATTGGGGAGTGAACCAACAGAAGGAAGACGTTTGTCTGTCTCTCACTGTCTATAACTCTACCTGTCAAATAAAAAAAATAAAAAAACAAATTTATTTTAGCACACACACAAAAAAATAAAATAAAACAAAACCCTCTCAGGGAGCCAGTATTCTGGCTCTTTAAATAAGTGAATCTTAAAACAACAACAAGAAAACCTCTTCAGGATAAAATCTAAACACCTTAGCATACTATTAAAGGCCCTTTATGATCTGGCCCCAGCTAACCTGACAATGATTTCCCTGCACTCACTCCATCCTCCATGCCAGTCACACAGAACTACTTGCTAACCCATTAACTTCTTTCACCTGCTCACAAGCTGTTCTGAAAAATTCTTTCTCCTTCAGGTTAACTGTATTATTCCTTGACTTTGACTTAGGAGTGACCTGCTCACTCTCACTCCCCTTCCCAAAGCTTATTAAATTCTCATTTTAAAATATTTACATAGCACACTGTATTATGTTGATCTACTTGCCTGTCTCCTCCTTTAGACTGCTTGTTCTGTTTTTTATGTTTGTACTACACAGCTGGTACACGGCAGGCATTTAATAAATGTTAGCTGAATGAAAGAGTCCATCTGAGAATTTCTAGTCAATGAGAATCTTTTCTTTTGGTATTAGCCATGGAAAAACTTACCACAGTCGGTATACAAAATAATTAACCAGAATTGCAGTCAAGTAATTTGAAAATACAAGGATTTCTTACAGCCATTTTTATTGCCTTTCTCAAGTTCATCAACGTATTTATGAACACAAATTGGAGGTCTGGAAAAACACAGGGCTACCACCATTGAGTCATACGTTCCGTTTTTATTATAATCTGTACGTGTTTTCCTTTTTCTCCCCCACACTAGGTTTAGGCCAGCACTGTCCAATCCAGTAGCCACCGGCCACAGGTGGCTACTTAAAGTTAATTAAAATTAAATTAAAAATTCAGTTCCTTAGCCGCACCAGCCACACATTTTCAGGGCTCAAAAGCTAATACGTGGCTAGTGGTTATGATCCTGGACAGCGTAGAAACACATTTTCTCCAGTTCCACTGGACAGCGCGGGCGACACAATTATAAAAGGACCTGAGAAAACCTCACTTACTTCTTGGCGCCCACGCTCCTCGGGCTCCTCTGCTGCTTAAAAGATGTGGGTCCCGGAGTCTAGCAAATCACAAGCACGCCAGTGAGTGCCAGGGACGTCGGAACCTCGACCACAAAAAAAGACAAACTCCCCCCACCCTGTGCCCCAATGACGCTCTCTCCCGGGGCAGCGATCTCCCACGGAGGAAGGCAACACTCTTCAGGAAAAGTGCGCCGCCCTATCTCCCGGCACCGCAGACGCGGCTGACAATACCACAGCCCTCCTCTTCCTCCATTCTCAAAGCCTCGTCCCAGTGACAGGCTCCGAAGGGGGGCGGGGGGGCGGAGAAAACAAGACAACGGATCTGCGAGGCTTCGGGGATAGAACACGAATAGAAACTAACGGCAATCTGCCGGGGAACTGAGTCCAAGGACATGGGGGCCAGGCAGCAAAAAAAGTGGGGGGAAAAAGAGGGGGGAAGGTGGGTCGGATCTAGAAGGGTGGGGCCTACGATGGGCTCTGATAAAACCAACTCTGAGCGTGGGACAAAAGCGAGGGGCCGCGTGTTCCGGGCTCGACAGCGCTACCTCTAAAGCATAACGGTCAAACCGAGAAACTCACGGCGGGTACTGCACCGAGTCTGGAAGACATCACTGCCTCTCCACGCCTAACAATTTCACCCAAGGGCTCCGGCCAGACCAACGCCACTTCCGCTCTCCTCGCCTCTCCCGGATGTGGACTTGGCGCCGCCTAGCCCTGTTCTGCACGTCTACTTCCGCCTAGCAGCTTCCGAGGGGGGCTGCGGCCGGAGTGAGTCACGTGACAAATCACCCTCCGATTCCTCCGAGACCCCGCCCCCAGTAGGCTGGGCCCGGGGAACGTGTGGGAGGGGCGAAGGGGCGGAGTTTGGGGGTCTCAACCCGCCCGCGGGACCTCTCTCTCCTGTTGCATCCGTTCGCACGCCACCTTGGGACCGTCCGTTCTCCACCCACCCCACGAGTGGTCTTCTAAAGGCACATAGATTTCAAGTTTGGCCCCTTTATTGATTTTAGAGAAATTACAGACCCCTTCTCACCCCCCCTCCCCTCAGGTAGAGAGAGCAGAAGCCCTTCCACGGCGGAGGGGGCAGGAAGGAAGCCAGGAAAAGGCAGGTCAGCGAAACTCGAGGGAGACAGTGAGCAACAGGGGCGATCTCTCCTCAGCGACTCATTTCAGGCCTCCAAACTTGCCCTGCTTTGAGGTTTTTCCGTGTGGCTCCTGGGAGACGTGTTTGAGCAACTCTTGACATCTTTAGACAGACTGTGCCTGGGCCTCTCCTTAGGGGAACCGTGCTGGGGTCTCTCCTTCGCGGGACTCGGAGGGATGTTCTCCGCGTGGCTGCGCCCGCTCCTCTCGGAGTGGCTGCGCCGGCTCCTGTCCGAGTGGCTGTGGCGGCTCCTCTCGGTGGGGCTGGGATACGTTCTCTCCGACTGACTGCGCCGGCTCCTCTCAGAAAGCCTGAGCTGCCTCATCGCGGGGGGAGCGTGCCGGTTCCTCCCACAGTAGCTGAATCCTCTCCTCTCGGAGGCGCTGCCAAGGCTCCCCTCTGAGGGGGCGAGGCGGCTGCTGTCTGCGGGGCAGCGGGGGCTCCTGTCTGAGGGACCGTGGCGGACCCCCTCTCGGGGACCGCGATGTCTCCTCTCGGAGGGGCTGCCTCGGCTTCTCTCCGAAGGGCTGTGAGGGCGCCTCTCCCGGGGACTGTGGTGTCTTCTCTCCGAGAGACTTTGCAGGGTTCTCTCGGAAGGACTGCGATGGTTTCTCCGACAGCGACTGCGGTGGCTGCGCTCCGAGAGACTGCGAAGGGTCCTCTCGGAGGGGCTGCGCTGGCTCCTCTCGGAGGGACTGTGTAAGTGCCCCTCGGAGCAATGTCGGGAGAGCCTCTCCCTGAAGCAGCCGCGGGGGTTGCGCTCTTGGGCTGTGGGCTTCTCCTCACAGGGTGAGACTCTCTTCCTAGGGTGACCAGGTAGGGTCCTCCCTCGAGCCTGAACTCTGCTTCCTGGTTGGGGCAAGTCCTTAGACCCCTGCCTGGTTTCGTTTCTGCAGAACCTTTTCTTTGCTCTGCTGCTACTGTCGTTTTGAACTGTATCCAGAGGCTGGATGACGGCCGTAGCCTGGAGACTGAGATCTCTTTGGGAAACTCTGGGCTCAGGCAGCTGGAGAGGGCTGGATTGGAGAGCTTGCGCTCCTTTTGGCCTTTCAGGTGAACTGCATGGATCTGTTCCTCCTGAGGGCGTGGGCTCCTGCTTAGTGGCAGCACCTGTTGGCTTTTGTGTGCCAACTGGCATCTTGTCTCTTTTGTTAGCTCTCGGTAAGTGATGGGCCCTGGCTTTTTGTTTTGGATGGCAGTTTTTGCTTGACGGCAAACTGTCTGGCATTGTCCTGTCCCCGGGCTTCTGTCCAACAAAAGCTACAATTCGGTGTGCTGTTTGGAATGCCTGCTTTAGGCCCTGAAACAGCAATTGCATGAACCTGGGTTGGGAAGATTTCTTAGATTGTCTTTTTAGAGAGGCAGAGCTTGTGTGAACTGTTCCAGTCCTCTTCCTCCTTGGAGGGGCTGGTAATTCTGCACAGGGACTTTCTGTTGTGGTTCTGCTGTTTGTGTTTTGTGTTCTAAGTCTCTTAGTGAGTCTTTTCTTGGGATACTTTGAAACAGAGGTCTTTTTGGTTCTCACTCTAACCCATTTTTCATCCTGATCGCTTTCAGAGGCACTGTCTGATAGAGAGTGAACTTGAATGAAGTCATAGTGCCCAGGGTCTCCAATGTTTCTCTTTTTTACCAGCTCTGGACTGTCACATTGCCTTCGCCTGATGTGGACTTGTACAGGAGCAGGAGACTGGGAAGACCCGGATTGGAAATCTATTGTGGGAGCAGGACTCTTGGAAGCTTGAGTATCGATTTTACCTTTCCTTTGTGATGCTGGTACAGGATTCTTTTGTGCGACAGGTCTTTCTCTTCCACAATACTTTGAGACTTGGGATCTTTTTCCAGTTCGCAACCTAAAGCCAAGATGCAACCGAATCTCTCCATGGCCTTCTGGAGTGCTTACAAGGTGGAGTTGTGGATAGATAAGCAGATAAGGCCCAAAAGTGGTCTGTAATTTATGACAGCAATTAAATCCCAAACATCGGCCACACTGTAGGCAGATAGGGTATTTTAGGACTAGACCTGAAGCTAGAGGAGGCACATTGGGGGGTATTTGACTCCTTAAGAGTTTTGCTGCTATTTTTAGCTGCAGATCTTGTAGTAATTGGAACTGCTCTGAGAAGTCAGTCTTGGCCTGGGGAAGATAACTTGGCTTTAGAGAGTGTTGAGACTCAAAAGTCCTTGTTTCTGAGTCACTCTGTGAGTTCTCGCTCTCTTCCACAGGGACAGGCTCTTCCCTTTTGTAAAATATCCTGAGGGAAGACTCTGACTTTACTGGGTCAGGAGGCTGGCCCTCTGCACATGAGATAGCCATGTGCTGAATGACTTCCTGGGATGTATCACTGAGCCTTGAGTTTGTTTTCTTTATTCCAAATCTAGTCCCAGAGTATTGTTGTATTATGGAAGATGTGGAGCCACGTGTCCACATCCTTAAGGTCATTCTTTTCTCATGACCAGGGCATAAAGTGTGCCTCTGAATGTAGGTTTTGACCACTGAAGGCTGAGAAACAGCACCAGGACCCTTCTCTAGGAGACTCTGAGAAAATTCCATCAGTTCAGCTGGAACCCCAAATAAATTCTGAACAGATTGACAGGTATCTGCAGTGACTCTTTCTGCTAAGCATGTTCGAGAACAAAGCTTCTTCTCCATAGTGGTCCCCAAGACATTCCCTAGCATTAGCATAGTAGAAAGATATTTTCTAGGTAGTCGCTGCATACAGGCATGATTCTCCCAGACATTCTGTCGTCTGCCCAGGAAAGACGAGGTAGGGCCTTTTTGACCCCCTGGTCCCCCTTGAAATGTCCTAGGTGGTGACCTCCAGCTTTGTGGTAGATGTCGGGAGAGATTCTGTAGTGAGTTCTCTAACTCCTCTAGTTGCTTCCTTTTAATTCTCTCCTTGGATATTACATCCTCTCCTGGGATCTCAGGACATGGAGTTTCCATAGAACTAGTTGTCTTATCATAGGGTTGATTATGAAGGGCTGATGGGAGGATAGGAGACTGTATCATTGTAGGATCTGTACAGGACTCTTCAGGCTGCAAAATATCTGTCCTGAAGTTTTTTATATCCAAAGTTGTTGGTACACCTAGCATCCCAGATTGCTGAAGACTTCCTAATTCAGATGTTCTGACAGAGCTTGAAATAAGTGATGTTGAAGAGCTGTGTGGGAAATTACTGAAATCATTCCCTATTTGCAACTCTTTCTCAGACATTAATTCCTCAGAGTCGCTATTCTGACACATCTGTCTTCCATCCAAATCTTCAGATTCCATGACTTTAGGATACTCAATTTTTATTCCCATAGATTTCACAGCTTGAAGCTTTTGTTCATGAGTCATTATTGTAAGCTTCTCAAGTGGAGATGTTTGTTGTGAGGTTGATTTTTCAGATTTCACTTGAATATTTGACCTTGGAGTTAATTCTACAGGTTTTACCAGTTCTTGAAAATATGGCCTTGGGAGTAAATCCAAACAATCTATTACATCAAGCCCTGATCTTAGAGCTACTCCTGTTGGTTCTACAACCTGAGGAATTGGTCCAGGTGATAATTTCTCAGATTTCACAGTTTGAAGTAATGGCCCTGGTGTTAATACAGTCTTTATGATTTGAAACCCTGTGCACTCCATTGTTTCCAAAATGTGGTGTGTTGGCTCTGTGTTTAATTTCTTAGATCTCATGTTTTGTAACCATAGCCTTGAGGTAAACTCTGAAGCTCTCACATTTTGAAGCTTTGGGGTTAACTTAACATTTTCTTCCACTTGAAGTGTTGTTTGTGGTGTTGTCACAGATTTTACAACTTGCACTGGTGGTCCATGGATCGCTTTCACAGATACAACAATTTGTGGGGGAGGAACTGATATTGTTCCTACTGATTGAGCAACTTGCTGTGCCCTTGCAGATTCTGTGACTTGATATAGTGGCTTTGGACTAACCTTTACAAATTTTATAATTTTATCCAATGGTCCTGAATGTTTCATATTTTGATTCTGTGACTGTCTTAGGCTCTTTGATACCTCTCCTTGCTGCCATGTGTCAGAGGTGAGCTCCATGGATTCTGCATGTCCCATAGCTTGACTTTCTTGCTTTGGGGGCAACTCTAAAGATTCCTCCATTTGCAGCTTCTGCTTAGAGGTCAAACTTAGAGATTCTGAGACTTGATGTCCTAACCCTAATGTTAGCCTTGAAGAGCCCAAATAATGCTGTGACCTTGGGATAAATTCTTTAGGTCCCTTCACTTGCAGCCCTGTCTCAGAAGTTAACTCTACAGCATGATATCCTAGTCCTGGTGTCATCCATGAAGTAGAATCTGGGGTATGATGAAATGACTTTGGAATCAATACTACAGATTCTTCATTTTGCCATCTTTTCTCAGATATTACCCCAGCAGGTTCTAAATCTTGAGGATAGGGCCTTGGAGCTCTCTCTGCACAATCAGTGGTTTGATTTATTGGTTTTGGAGTCATTCCAAGGAATTCTTTCCCTTGCAACCTTGGTATAGAAGTCAACCCCATAGCTTCTGGAATGTGATGTTTGCATTCTGGAGTCATCCTTTCAGATTTCACAACTTGCTGCAGTGGTCTTTTATAAAACTTCTCCAAATCCTTAACCTGAGGACATGACTGAGAGAGCAATGCCAGAGTTTCTGGAATTTGGTTGCTTTTCCCTGGGGTTAAGTCCAAGGATTTTGAGCCCTGACCCCTTAGCATCAGAGTAAGATCACCAAATTCTGGCACTTGAAGACCTAATTGTAGAGGTACACCTGAAGATTCCATGGCTTTGCCTGTAGGCTTTGGGGTCAACCTCATGGTTTTATCTATAGTTTCTAATCTTGTATGTGCCAACCCTTTTGCCATTTCTGAAGACTCTGTGGTTTCATTAATTGGTACTGAAGTCAAATTCACAGATTTAAGGACTTGATGCCTTGGCTTTGGGATCATCTCTACATATTCTACAAACTGATTTTGTGGTTTAGGGATTATTTCAGAGGATTCTGTGACTTGACAACTTTTTCTTAGAGTTTGCTCCTCAGATTTCACTCTTTGAATTGGTGGCTGTGCTAACTGCACAGACTTTACAGTTTGCTGCAGAGATACTGAAGACAATTTTACATGTTTTATGCTTTGTAATTTTGGCTCTGGAGTACACTCCGAAGATTTCACTCGCTGCTGCTGTGATTCTGCAGGCAAATCTGAGAATTTAACACTAGTCAATATTGGTCCTGGTAAGAACTTGCTGCTTGACGCTGGTGCCATCGCCTCTGATTTAACACCTTGCTGACCTGAAATCAATTCTTGGTAATTTATACCTGGCTGATGGGACCCTGGACTCAGCTCCACAGGTTTTACATTTTGAAAACATGACTTTGGTGTAACAACCACAGATTTAATACATTGTGACCTGAGGCATGATGTCAACCGTAAAGAATTCACATTTTGAGATTGTGGCCATAAGTTTGACTTTACATCTTGAGAATGTGGCTTTGATATAAACACTGTAGATTTCTCACTGATACAAGAAATCAGCTTCTTAGAATTCACATCTTGAGACTGTGGCCTTAGTTTCAACTCTAGAGATGTCAAATCTTGAAAACATGGCTTGGGTACAAACACCATAGATCCCATATTCTGCTGCCTGAGGTGCGAAGGCAACTCCTCAGAATTCACACCTGGAGGATGCGGTTCTGTATTTAACTCCACAGATTTTACTTTTTTAAAATATGGCTCTAGTACAAACAGTTCACATTTCAAGTCCTGAAGCCTAGAGCCTGGAATCAGTTTCACAGAATTTTCACCACAAAGCAATGGCTGTTTGTTCATCTCTGCAGACTTTACATCTTCAAGCAGTGGCTCTGGTAAAAACAGCACAGATTTCACATTCAACCGAGGACCCAAAGTGAACATAGGTTGCGTAACTTGCTGCTGGGACCCAAGGTGGTTCTCTATAGATTGGACTCCTTGAAAGTTTGTCCCTGGAGTTAACTCAGAGGGTTTCCCATCTTGCAAGTGTGGTCTAGAGTTGCATAGAATGGATTTTTTATTTTGAGATTCGGACCCCAGGTTCAATTCAGAGGGTTTTATCCCTTGTACTTGTGGACCTGGATTAAGCTTTATAGAATGCATGCATTGAAGTTTTGACTCTGAATTCAACTCAGAAGAATTTTTTCCTTGCTTCCGTGGGCCACATTTGAACTCCATTGGCATTGTACCTTCAGACTTTGTCCCTGGAGTCAATACATATTTTACATCTTGTAAATGATACACAGGGTTGAACACAACTGATTCTGTGCCTTGAAGCTCTGGCCCTGGACGCAACTCAGAAGATCTCATACCTTGACATTTCATCCATGAAGTCGGTTCCAAAGAATGTACACCTTGCAAGTGTGACTCAGGTTTACATCCCATGGAATTTATACAGTGTGGTTTTGGCTTTAGATTTAACTCAGAAGAATTCATATACTGCCTTGGTGGCCCAGAGTTACATTCCATAGGTTCTACATCTAGAAACTTTGGCTCTTGAGTCTGCTCAGAGCATTTCACACCTTGCAAATGTGGCCCAGGGTAGCACCCGGTAGAATTTACACACAGATGTTGTAGCTCTGGGCTGCACACAGAAGAATTCATATCTTGCAAATGTAGCTCAGGGTGGCATCCACTAGAGTTGCCACATTGATGTTGTGGCCCTGGACTGCATGCAGAAAATTTCACACCTTGCAATTGTGGCCCAGGGTGGCACCCGGTAGAATTTACACACTGATGTTGTGACCCTGGGCTGCACACAGAAGAATTCATATCTTGCAAATGTGGCTCAGGGTGGCACCCACTAGAGTTGCCACACTGATGTTGTGGCCCTGGACTGCATGCAGAAGATTTCACATCTTGCAAATGTGGCTCAGGGTGGCACCCAGTAGAATTTACACACTGATGTTGTAGCCCTGGATTGCATGTGGAGGAGATTACGCCTTGCAAGTGTGGTCCAGGTTGGCACCCACTAGAGTTGCCACATTGAAGTTGTGGCTCTGGAGTACATGCCAAAGAATTCATGCCTTGAAAATGCGGTCTGGAGTTACAACCAGTAGAATTTACACATTGACGTTGTGTCCCTGGAGTGAATGCAGAAGAATTCATGCTTTGTACACATGGCCCAGGGTTGCACCCAGTTGAGTTTACGCACTGAAGCTCTAGGCCTGAGATGGATGCAGAAGAATTAACATCTAGTAAATAGGGTCTAGGGTTGCATCCAGTAGAGTTTACACGCTGACACTGTGGCTCTGGAATGGATGCAGCAGAATTCACACCTTGCAAATGTGGTCCAAGGCAGAACACTTCAGGTTTTATTCCTTGATCTGACTTAGGGTTCAACTCAAAAGATTTTACATCTTGTAACTGTGACCCAGTGTTGAATGTCATTAAGTTTTTACACTGAATCTGTGGCCTTGGATTTAGTTCAGGTGGTTTCTCTGCTTGCAATTTAGGTACATGCTCGAATTTCAGAGGTTGATCATATTTTGTCCCTTGAAGCTTTGGCCCAGGGTGAAAGTCTAAACACCCCATACCTTGAAGCTTTGTTCCCAGGCATAACTCAAGAGATTTCACTTCTTGCAGCTGTTGCTCAGAATTGAAGTCCATAGCTTTAACACCTTGAAACTTTGTTCCTTCACATAATTCAGAAGATTTCTTTTGTTGTAAATGTGGCCCTTGATTAAACACCATACATTTTTCACTTTGAAACTCTGGCCCTTGAATACATTTACAAGATTTCTCATCTTGCTGCTGCTTTCCAGCATCGAATTCAGAAGGTAGCCTCCCATGAATCTTTGATTCCAAGGCCAAATTAGAGAGTTTTGCAACCTGCGATTCTTTGTTAAGATTGACCTCAGTAGAATCCATTGTTTGCAGGTTTGTTGACTCAGATTTGATACTATGTAACTTTGTCCCAGGATCGAATCCCATGAGTTTCATTTCTTGTTGAGGGTGGCTCTCTGGTGTCCACATAGATTTCCTATCTGGTAATTGTAGAGCTGAGTTGGACCCCATATATTTCTTATCTTGTACCTTACTTAATGTCAACGCTAAAGATGTCATGTTGTGCCACAGTGGCCCCAGCATGAATCCCAGAGGTTTTGCTTTTTGCATCTCTGACCCTGGGACCACTTCAGAAGATTTCACACTGTGCAAGGGTGGTCCAGAACTGAACTCCATAGATTTTGCATCCTGAATCTTTGTACCCAGAATCAACTTGGAATATTTAACATCTTGCAACTGTGGGCCTGAGCTAAACTCCACACACTCCCCACTTTTAAGCTTTATTTCTGGTGTTAATTCTGAGGATGTCATACTTCGTAACACTGGGCCATGGTTCACATCTTGAAGCTTTGTCCCTTGAATAAACTCAGAAGATTTTTCACTTTGTGGTTCAGAGTTGAAGTCCACTGATTTTGTATCTTGAGGTTTTGTCTTTTGTATTGCCTCAGAGGATTTCATTCCTTTAAGGTGTGTTTGAGAACTGAAATCCATAGATTTTACACCCTGGAGCTTTATGTTCATTATCTGCTCGGGAGATTTTCTGTCTTGTAACTGTGGGCTTGAATTCAGTTTCACAGATTTCATATCTGGAAGCTTCCTCCTCAGAGTCAAATCACCTTGTAACTTTGGTCTAAGTTTGAATTCTACAAAATTTCTTCTTCGAAGTTTTCTCCCTGGAATCACTGGAGAAGATCTCACACTTTGTAATTGTGGTCCAGAAGAGAAACCCATACATTTTTCATCTTTAAGCTCTATACCCACGATCAACCTAGAAGATTTCACATCTTGCAGCTGTGGACCTGAGGTGGATTCCAGCAATTTCACTTCCTGAAGCTTTGTGCTTGGCATTGACTCACAAGATTTCACATCTTGCAACCATGGCCCAGGTTTGAAGTCTGTAGATTTGACACCTCGAATCTTGATCCCCTTGATCAAATCAGGAAATGGTATACTTTTCAACTGTGAGCTGGAGCTTAACTCTGTAAATTTTGTTTCTTGATGTGTTGTCTCAGGAGTCAACTTAAAAGATGTTACACCTTGCTGCTGGAGCCCAGAGTTAAGTTCCTCAGATTTCACACCTTGAGGCTTCATCTGAAGAGCCAACTCAAGCGCTCTTATACCTTCCAAGTATAGTGGGGAGTTCAATTCTACAGCTTTATCACTGTGTAATTGTGATCCTTTGTTAAATACCCCACATTCCACTTCTGGAAGCTTTGGCCCCTGTGTAAACCCTAAAGACGTCATTCCTTGAAGCTGTGTTCCAGGGGATGACTCTAGAGGTTTAATTTCTTGCAACTGTAGTCCTGGGGTCAACTCAGGAGATGTCATATCTTGCAAAGGTAGCCCAGGTTTGAATTTCATAGATTTTATATTACAGAACTTTGATCTTGAAACCGGGTCACCTGACTTCATACTTCTCAACTGTAGCCTAGGTTTCAAATCAATTAGTTTGAATCCTTGAGGTTGATGTTCCCAGAATGATGTCAAAGGTTTAATATCTTGGAGCTTTGGCCTTGGAATCAACTCAGATGACTTCATATCTCTTAACTGTGTTGAAGGTTTCAATTGTACAGTTCTGAGACTTTGAGATTCTGAACCAAGATTTAGCACAGTTTTTGTAGCTGGGAACTCTGGTCCTGGCATACCCTGGACAGATTTCATACTTCCAAGCTGTGGCCCTTGGTTTAATTCCCCAGTTTCTGTACAATGAAGCTGTGGTTCTGAGGTCGATGCCACAATTTTCCTCTTTTGTAGCTCTGGTACTGGGGACAACTCGGGGATTTTCACATGCTGCAATTGTGGTCTACAGTTACACTCCATAAATTTTGCAGCTTGAAATTTGGGCCCCATAGTCAATTTAGATGACTTCACACTTTCCAACGCTATCAACTGCTTCAAATCTGCAGATCTGACACCTACAGATTGTGACCCAAGATTTAACCCTACAGATTTCATACCCTGGAACTCAGATCCTGGTATCCACTGAATGCATTTCATACTTCCAAGCTGTGGCCCTTGGTTTAATCCCCAAGTTTTTGTACATTGAAGCTGTGGCTCTGAAGTTGATGCCAAAATTTTCCCTTTTTGCAGCTCTGGTGCTGGGCACAACTCAGAGATTTTCACACACTGCAACTGTGGCCCACAGTTGCATTTCATAGATTTTACATCTTTAAGTTTGGATCCTACAGTCAATTCAGCTGACTTCACACTTTCTAACTGTGTTGAACACTTCAGATCTGCAGGCTTGACACTGAGAGATTGTGTCCTAGTATTGAACCCTACAGATTTTATACCTTGGAACTCAGGTGCCGATATCCACTGGACAGATTTCATACTTCCAAGCTGTGGCCCTTGGTTTAATTCCATAGTTTCTGTACATTGAAGCTGTGGCTCTGAGGTCAATGCCAAAACTTTATCTTTTTTCAGCTCTGATCCAAGAGACAAATCAGGGGTTTTCACACATGGCATCTGTGGCCCACAGTTACTCTCCACGGATTTTACGCCTTGAAGTTTGGACCCTACAGTCAATTCAGCTGACTTCATACTTTTTAACTGTGTTGAACACTTCAGATCTGCAGGCTTGACACTGAGAGACTGTGTCCCAGTATTGAACCCTACAGATTTTATACTTTGGAACTCAGGTGCCGATATCCACTGGACAGATTTCATACTTCCAAGCTGTGGCTTTTGGTTTAGTTCCACAGTTTCTGTACATTGAAGCTGTGGCTCTGAGGCTGAAGCCAAGCTTTTACCTTTTTGCAGCTCTGGTGCTGAGGACAACTCAGGAGTTTTCACACAGTGGAACTGTGGCCAGCACTTACACTCCACAGGTTTTATACCTTGAGGTTTGGACCCTACAGTGAATTCAGGTGATGTCACACTTTCTAACTGTATAGTATGTTTCAGATCTGCAGGTTTGACACATAAAGTTTGTGACCTAAGATTTGATCCTACAGATTTCACATCTTGGAACTCAAGGCCTGGTATCCACTGAATAGACTTTGTACTTCCAAGGTGTGGCTCTTGATTTAACCCTGCGGTTTTCACACCTCGAAGCTGTGGCTCTGAATTCGATGTCAACATTTTCTCTGTTTGCAGCTGTGATCCTGGGGACGTCTCAGGGGTTTTCACGCCCTGCGATTCTGGCCCACAGTTAAACTCCGTAGATTTTACATCTTGAAGTTTGTGCCCTACAGTCAATTCAGATGACTGCACACCTCCCAACTTCATGGAAGGTTTAAACTCTGCCAGTCTGACGACTCGAGATTGCGACCCAAGATCTAAGCCTACAGATTTCACCCGCTGGAACTCAGGCCCTGGTATCCACTTAATGGATTTCTTACTTCCACTCTGTGGCTCCTCATTTGATTGCACGGTTTTTATACCTTCAGTCTGTAGCTCTGAAATTAATACCAGAGGTTTCACTTGGTGCAACTGTGATCCCAGGGTCAACTTGGGGGATTTCATAGTTTGTAACTGTGGTTCACATTCAAACTCTTTAGCTTTTAAATCCTGGATATTTGGTTCTGGAGCCAACTCCAGTGATTTAATATCTCTCGATTGTAGTTCACAGCTGAGATCTACATCTTTAGATTTTGGCTCCGGAATTAACTCCAAAGACATTGCCCCTTCTGACTGAGACCCTCTATTCAATTGCTCTGAATTCACACATTTCCACTCTGGTGAGTTTGTAGATATCTGACTGTACTGTTCAGACCCAGGAGTTAAATCCATAGGTGTACTCTCTTGAAATGGTTGCATTGGGGTTAAATCCACAGATGTGGCTCCTTGAAACCCTTGATTTCTGGTTATATTCACAGACTTTACTACTTGCTTCCTTAGCCTTGAGGTCAACATCACAGATTTTTCGCATTGCAGCTGTGGATCGGGAGTGCTCTTTACAGATTTTAAACTTTGGAGCTTTAAACTTGGAGTCATCTCCACAACTTGTACATCTTGCATTTGTGACTCTGAAATCAATTCCTTAGGTTTCATGGCTTGCACTTGGGATTTAACACCTGGAAGCAATGGCTCTGGTACAAATGCTGCGTAATTCTCACTTTGCATCTCTGGCCCAAGTTTCAGTTCCACAGCTTTTGCATCTTGCAGTTGTGTACCTGGGACCAACTCCACAGTTTTCAAATCTAGAATTCTTGAACTTGGGGTCAATTCCATAGATTTCACACCTTCAAGCTTGCAATCAGGGCTAGTTTCTACAGATTTGACATCTATGTGTGATCCCAAGAGTATCTCCACAGATTTGAAACCTTCTGGCTGTGGACTCCGGGTTTTCTCCTTAGATATTGTGCTTTCCAGACATGGCCCTAGAGTTAATCCCACAGATTTCACATCTTCCAATGGTAATGCTGATGTCAGCAAATCAGATTTTAAACCTTGATGCTCTGAGCCTGGGATCAGCTTCCCAGGTTTCACACCTCCTGCCTGTGGCCCTGGGGTTAACACCATAGAGTTGATGTCTCCTAGCTTTGGTTTTGGTGTTAACTGCATAGATTTTATACCTCCTAACTTTGGTCCTGGACTTAGCACCACAGATTTCTTATTTGTTAGCTGTGATTCTGTGGTAAGCTTCTCAGGTTTTAAACCTTGAAATTTTGAGACTAGGGTTATCTCTACAGATTTTGTATTATCTACCTGTGGCTCTACAGTCACCTTCTCAGATTTTAAACTTTGCAGTTTTGAGACCAGGGTCTGCTCCACAAGTTTTATAACTTTCATCTTTGATCCTTGGATCAATTCAGATTTCTTGTCTTGTAACTTTTGTCTTCTGGTCAACTCGGAATGGTTTACCTTTGGCAAATGTGGTGCAGGAATCAACTCAATAGATTCTATACCTGTTTTCCGTGGCTCTGAAATGAGTTTATAAGAAATTTTACCCGCAACGTTTGGCACTTGGTTCACCATTACAAGTTTTATACCTTTTAACAGTGACTCTGGTTCTAACAATTCCAATTTAATCCCTTGCTTCTCTGGTCTTGGGGTTGATTCAGCAGATGTTACCCCTTGCCTCTCAGGCTCTGAAGCCAACTCCAAAAATTTCACACCTTGGAGCTGTGGCCCTGAGCTTAACTCAGAAGATGTCACACCTTGAGGTTGAGTTCCTGGAGGTGTCAGATCAAAAAATTTGACATCTTGTAAGCATGGCCCTGAGTTAAGCCCAGCCTGTTTCATATCTTGAAACCCTGGAGACATCTTCACTAATTTGGAATCATGCAGGCCTAACTCTGGAGTCCCCTGCACAGAATTCACATCACAAACTATTAATCTTGGGATGTCCTCCCCAAACTTGACACCTTGAAGCTTTGGCCCTGAAGTCAATTCAGAAGATTTGATGTCTTGCAAGCCTGGTCCTGGGCTTAGTTCCACAAATCTCATACCTTCGGGTTGTGATTCTGGAATCAGCTGTTCAAATTTGATACTTTGATGCTTTGACCCTGACAATTCACTTTCTTGCATTGAGGAATCTGGGATCAATTCATCAGATTTCATGTCATGATGGGTGGGCCCTGAGATTAAATCTACAGGTTTTTCTCCTTTTAAAAGTGGCCCTGGAGATGGCTTTGAAAATCTGACACTTTGCAACTGTGGCCCTGGAGTCAGTTCACAAGATGTGAGAGTTGGCTGCCATGGGCTTAGATTTTGGAACTGTGCCCCCTTGTTCAATTCCCCCAGTAACTCACTTTGCTGTACTGACCCTGGTGTCAGTTTCTCAGATCCTACCACTCCTATTGTTGATTGTTTGATTAAATTAACATATTTTGCTTCTTGTGGCTGTGACTCTGGATCCAATTGACCAGACTTGACTCCCGGGATCTGTGCCTCTGGGGTCAAGTCCATAACATGCGGTTTTGGTTCTGTACTTAACTTTTCATAGCCTGCCATGATGGGGGATGACTCAGAGCTTGTTTCCACAGGTTTCAAATTTTGCTGTAGTGACTCTGAATTCTCATATCCCATCCCTAGTCCTAGAGTCAACTCCAGAGATCTTGTTTCTGAATATGGTGGTTCTAGAATGGTCCCCAGGCCTTTATCAACTTGAGGCAATTCCGTCCCCACAGTTTCTGTGTCATTATAGTCTGACTGGAGGGGTATCTTTGACAAATCAGTACCTTTTGAACATGGTCCTAGTTTCAGATGAACAACCATACTCTGGGACTGTGGCTGTGGGGCCAACACCTCTAATCTCACACTCTGCATCTCTAATCCTGGTATCAAATCCAGAGATTCTTTTTGTGTGTGTTGTGACTCTAAAGTCTCCCCCATCGCTTTTACAAGTTGGGGTGTTTTTTCTGAAGTGCACTGGAATGACATTGAGCTCATCTCCATAGATTCTGAAGTTTGACTTAATAGCCCTGGGGTAATTCCTGAAGACACCTGTGTCAACCCAATGGATTCTTTCACTTGGTGATGATTGTCAGAGGTCAAATTTGCTTTTGTTTCTTGATATTCTGGCTCTGAAATCATCGCTGAATATTCTGAAGCTTGATGCCATGGGGTCAGTCCTTCACATTCTATAACTTGATGATTTGATTTTGAATTCATGTCTACAGATTTTACTGCTTCAAAGTGTATCCCTGAGATCTGTTCCCCATGTCTCATCCCTTGCACCTGTGTCTCAGGAATTGCATTCCCATATTTTCCCATCTGAGGAGTGTTCACATCTTCAAACAGTAGTCCTGGGACTCCCTTCTCAGATCTCATATTTTGTAACCATGGCTTTGGGGCCAACTCTACAGATTTTCTGTCTTCTGATAGTGGTCTTAGCGTCAACTCCATAGCATTTAGACCTTGAAACTCTGATGGTAGGGCCAAATGAACATATTCCATACCTTGAATCTGTGAACTGGTGGTCAAGTCTATAGATGTCCTACTCTGCAACTGTGGTGCTGAAGCTAACCCAGCAGATTTTACAGTTTTCAGTTGTGGTCCTAGGGTCAGTTGGATAGATTTCACACCTTGAAACGGAGACGTTGGGGCTGACTGCACATATTTCCCACTTTGTAGTTGTAATGTGGGAGCTAATTCCTCCAATTTTGCACTCTCCTGTTGATGTTCTGGGGCTAAATCTACAGTTTCCACAGTTGGGATAATCTGTCTATGTTTTACCATTTGTGAATCTAAACCTGTGGTTATGTCTGTAGATTTCATACTTTGCAACTTTGGTTCCAGGGCCAGGCTCTCAGATTTTACATTTTGCAATTCTGGAGATAGCTTCAAACAATCCATAACCTCAAGTTGTGGCATTGGCTTCACCCCCATATGTTTCACACCTTGAAACAGGGATGTAGTAGTCAGTACTGGAGATTCTGTGACTTGATGTGGTAGATTTTGTCGTATTCCTATAGATTCTGTACCTTGACTTGGTGACCCTGGGATTGTCCCTAATGATTCTATTATTTGGTGCTGTGAATCTGTCAACTGTATAAATTTCCCCATGTGTACCCATGTGTCAGAGGTCAACTCTATATTTTCTATAACTTTATGCTTTAACCTTGGGCTCCTCTCTGAATATTCTAGGATTTGATGCTGCGGGGTCAATCTGGAAGGATCTATGACCTGATGAAGTTCTGGGGCTAATGCTGAAGACTCAGTGGCTTGGTGATAGGGTTGTGGAGTCACCGCCACAGAGTTTAGTTCTTGAATCTGTAACCATGGAGTCAATTCCTTAGATTCCTTGACTTGAGATATTGGCCCTGGGGTCAAATCTTGAGATTCTACAACTTGTGACTGTGGTGCTGTAATCATTTCCATGGGTGCCCACAGTGCTGTTGGAGTTGTCTTTAGAGAATGTGTAGATTGATGTGATCGCGTTATAATCATCCTTGCTGATTCCATGACTTTAGATGGTAGCTTTGGAGGTAAACCTCCAGATTCAACAGTTCCTAGTGGCGCAGTAGAAGTGGGAAAGCCAGAGTAACAAGTTAAAACATCTGGTTCAGTTGGCATTGGGGTTAGATTTTCAATTTGTGGCTGTGAAAATGGAGTCAAATCCCCAGATTCTATAGCATGTGCCTGTGCTGGTGGAGTTATCCCCATGACGTCCATGGCTTGTAATAATGCCACTGGAGTTATTTTGTAATCCATGACTTCATGTGGTGGTGTTGAAATCATTTCCAACAATTTTTTGTTCTGATATATTAGTCCTGGATTCATCTTTACTTGTTCCATTGCTTGACTATATGACCCTAAGGTCATGCTCATTGGTTCCATGACTTTATGCTGTGTCCCTGGAGACATTCCAACAGTTTCCATGACTGAATGTGGTAGCCTTGGACTCAGCTGTTCTGGTTTTATGGCTTGATGGTCCAACAATGTGTCCATCTTCTCTGACTCCATTACGTGACATTGTGGTGTCCTTGGGGTCATTCCCACTGTTTCTGTGATATGTGGATGTGATTTGTTAATCCCCATAGATCCCATGACTTGAAGCAATGCTACAGGAGTTACCTTCACATTATCTGTGACTTGATTCAACACTCCTGAGGCCTTCCTCTTTGACTCCATAACTCGGTGCTGAGGATTTGAGGTTACCTCAATGGATTCAGTGATTTGATTTGATGGTTTTGGGGTTATGCTCACTCTTTCCATGGCTTCTGTTGGTTTCACAACTTGATCTGATTCGGTTGCTTCTGGGTGTGATTCTGGAATCATCCCCATTGAATTCATGACCTGTAACAATGCCAGTGGAGTTACCCTTAAGTTATCTGTGACTTGATATGGTAGCTTTTGGGTCAACTCCACATTAGTCACTTGTGTCTTATGCTGCTGTAGCTTTTCTTCTATAAGATCTATGACCTTCTGCTCTATACTAAGCTCTAGCATGTGTTTTGGGTCCTTGTTCAATACAGTGTTTTCCTCTTCAATTATGTTTACTCCTAAACTTCTGGGAGGTGGAGTGCCCATTGACATAAATGAAGTCTTGGATTCAACAATTTGGGAGCCACCCCCATGTTGTGACTGCTTCGCTGAGATAAAGGATTGTGAAATTTTTGTTTCTGTCCTATTTAATCCAGATTCCACACCAATGTTCACATGGAGCTGAAATGATGAAAGGTCTGGGGATTTATTGTTGGTATTTTGCTCTATGCTTTGATGAATGGGCATAGATAACTTGGCTTGAGATTTTTCTGTTTCAGGAACTCCTTCTTGTACTTCAGTTAGGTAATTCAGTAATGCCCATGATTCCTTCACAGGCAGAGGTACTGTTTGTTCCCGCAAAGTACAAACTTTCCAAGACATATGTCCTTCTAGCTCCCCCCTAGCCAAAGAGGAGAGCCGGACTGGAGCCTCTCCAGGGACTTGTGGTCTCTTCTTGGAAACTGAATTTGACCCATGGTCTGATGCCAAATGCCTCTTGCTCCTTCTTGCATCTTTTATATTTTCTTGATTGCAGAGATTTAAAGGTTCAAAAATAGAGTTGATAAAAGAACTTTGAGATTGTAAGGATGAAAGAGTTGCCAAATTCTGTAAAAGTTTTGATTTTTCAGGTTCTGACAACTGAAAAGGAGGCAGGGATGTGCCTTTGTTCTTGAACATTGATGGTTGCTTTTTGGGGGAAACAGGCAAACTGTTGCTCCGGAATTGCCAGGTTTTTCCTTCAGAAAAGGCAGGAAAGTGAGAATGTCTGGAATTGATGCCTGATGATCCAGAGGAGATGCTGTGGTTGGTGGAACATTTTGCCCTTCTGCAGTCACAATAGGGTAGAACAGCCTCCTGAGCCACAAGAACGGAGGAAGTGGTAGAAGAAATCGCATCTGGTGGTTCAGGCAAACTCAGTTGCATAAGACTTGATCTGAGAAATAAAAGGAAAAAAGTTTCCATTTGTTTTAAAGTAGGAAAAGAAAAAGGAGAGTAGCCATTTTTTAAAAAGATGTATTTATTTATTTATTTATTTATTTGAATGTCAGAGTTATATATAGAGAGAGGGAGAGATACAAAGAGAGTGATCGTCTATCTACTGTCTCACTCTCCTAATGACATTACAGCCAGGGCTGGGCCGTGCCGAAGCCAGGAGCCTGCAACTCCATGTAGGTCTTCCATGCGTGTGGCAGAAGCACTTGAGCCCTTTCCCGCTGCTTTCCTAGGCACATTAGCAGGGAGATGGATTGGAGGTGAAGCAGCCACATGGGGACTCAAACCAGGATGGCGCTCATATGGGATGCCATGTTGTAGGTGGTGGCTTAACCCTCTGTGCCACAATGCAGGGCCACCAGAAAGTGGCCATTTCAAATGCAAAATATTTTTGACCTGAGGGAGAGTTGGGGAAAAAAGGTTTATTTCCCCATCATCAATTACTTATTGAAAGAGTTCCTCCTAGGGGCCACATTGTGGTATAGCAGGTTAAGCCACCGTGACACCAGTGGTTCAGGTCCTAGATGCTCCACTTCCAATCCTGCTCCCTACTAATGTGTCTGAGAAAGCAGTAGAAGAGGACCCAAGCGCTTGAGCCCCTGCCACCCATGTGCAAGATCTGGATGGAGTTCCAGGCTCCTGGCTTAAGCCTGGCCCAGCCCTAGCCACTGTGGCCCTTTGGGAAGTGAACCAGCAGATGGAAGATATTTCTCCCTACCCCATCTGTAACTCTGCCTTTCAAATCAATAAATATTAAAAAAAAAAAAAAAAGAATTCCTTCACCAGGACAAAGGGAGGCAAACTGTTTCCATTCCACTCAGAAATTATCCTTACTACTTTGAACCTAGAACTTCTCCCACCAGCAAAACTGACTCCCTTTTCACCTTTCTCTCTCTCTCTTTCTCTCTAAGATTTTTATTTATTTATTTGAGAGGCAGAGATACAGAGAGGGAGTCGCCTTCTCTCTCTTCCTGTTTTGCTCCCTCCCTCTCTCCTTTCCTCCCTCTTGAAAGTTCTACCATTTTTAATCCACCAGCCGGAAACTACATTCCCAGACCTTGCATTTTCCAGGTGTTGGAAGATCTGTTGAAGACTTCTGTCCATTGACCAGAGTATATATTCCTGGGTCCAGCCCACAGGGAATCCTGAAACACTGGATACAACAGTTTGTCAGTCAGTGTAATTGAAGTGATATTAAAGTACAAGTAAGGAGAGCAGTAAGACAAGAGATTTAATTTGGAAAGGAGACACCTAGGGGAAGTAAAATAGAGTACCAGGCATTGTAATCCTAACTTTTACAGTTAGGATAGGCTGTCACAGAATAGGATCAAGGCAGACTTTACTCACCACGTCATGTGAGCTTCGATGCAATCCGTCATGTTTTTTTCTAACTGTGGAACTGAGAGTAGGAGTAAAGAACCTATTAGCATCATGACTATTGAGATCATGTGGTCCAACCCCCTCATTTTGCGAATAAGGAAACAAACATGGAATCATGCTCAAGATCATAAAACTGGTTAGCAGTAGAGCTCAGACTTAACCCAGGTTTCAAGTTAAAAAAAAAAAATACATGTGGGGCTGGCACTGTGGCGTAGCTGGTGAGGCCACTGCCTACAGTGCGGGCATCCCATGTGGGCTCCGGTTCAAGTCCCAGCTGCTCCACTTCTGATCTGGCTCCCTGCTGTGCCTGGGAGGGCCCCTGCACCCGCATGGGGAACACGGAGGAGGCTCCTGGCTCCTGGCTTCAGATCGGTGCAGCTGTGGCTGCTGCGGCCGACTGGGGAGTGAACCAGCAGATGGAAGACCTCTCTCTCTCTCTCTCTCTCTCTCTCTCTCTCTCTCTTTCTCTGCTTTTCCTTATCTCTCTGTGTAACTCTGACTTTCAAATAAATAAATAAATCTTCGAAAAAAAATTGTTATGCTGCTTTCATCAGGTAGTAAATGTCAGCCTTTGGGAAGAACAGAGGTAATCATGGGGAAAAGGAGTCAGAGTTGGAAAACAGAAGTCCTGATACATGTCTTTTCCTCCAAAGGAGTCCATCTGGTACTTATGGTGGAGAAATAAAGGTACTCAAACTGCCTTCACCAAATTCTTGGTAGTTAACCTTTATCTCTTCTCCAGTCTCACCAGGTTTCTTATCTACTACTTTGGGTTTGTACAAAAATAACTAAATGAGGAAAGGAACCATGGAAAGAATTACTGAACTGTTTTATTTATTTGAAAGTCAGAGTTACATAGAGAGAGAAAAGGAGAGGCAGAGAGAGAGAAAGGTTTTCCATCTGCTGGTTCACTCCCCAAATGGCCACAACGGCCAGAGCTGCACCAATCTGAAGCCAGGAGCCAGGAGCTTCCTCCAGGTCTCCCATGTGGGTGCCTGGGCCCAAGGACTTGGGCCATCTTCTACTGCTTCCCCAGGCCACAGCAGAGAGCTGGATCAGAAGTGGAACAGCTGGGACTCAAACCAGTACCCATATGGGATCCTGGCACTGCAGATGGCAGCTTTACCTGCTACACCACAGTGCTGACCACCCCCACTCTTTTTTTTTTTTAACTTTTTACATATCTCAGAATGTGGAGATTCTAGGAGGAAGAGATACTGTCATATTTATACCCTCTTTTTCAACCTCTCTCCACTTGACTTTTAGGGCTGGAGACTTAAAGCATATCCACTGTTGATTGTCATTAGCCTTGAGCTGAAGAGTAAAGGATAGGATCTTTCTGACCTGTGAGTTTCTGGGCCTGCTCTGAAGTCTAGAAAAAGACAAAAAGGGAAAAAAATCAGATTATGTTCTAAGTTAATGGTTTTATTGACAACATCTCATAAATATCATTTATTGTTACATCTTGCATATCAGAAACTGATAGAGCTAGTATCTAGAACCACATCATTAATTACCACCTCATTCATTCATTCATTCATGAAACATTTATTGAATACTTACTAAGTTCTACGAATTGTGTGGGATGCTGGGACTACAAAGATAAGTATGATTCCTATATTCTAAGAATTTAGAAAACAGTTGGCTAAGTGAATAAGTTAAAACATCATGTGAGGCCAGCGCCGCAGCTCACTAGGCTAATCCTCCGCCTAGCGGCGCCGGCACACCGGGTTCTAGTCCCGGTCGGGGCGCCGGATTCTGTCCCGGTTGTCCCTCTTCCAAGCCAGCCCTCTGCTGTGGCCAGGGAGTGCAGTGGAGGATGGCCCAGGTGCTTGGGCCCTGCACCCCATGGGAGACCAGGAAAAGCACCTGGCTCCTGGCTCCTGCCATCGGATCAGCGTGGTGCGCCGGCCGCAGCGCGCCGGCCGCGGCGGCCATTGGAGGGTGAACCAACGGCAAAGGAAGACCTTTCTCTCTGTCTCTCTCTCTCACTGTCCACTCTGCCTGTCAAAAAAAAAAAAAAAAAAAAAAACATCATGTGATAGGCCGCGGCTCACTGGGCTAATCCTCCGCCTGCGGCACCAGCACACTGGGTTCTAGTTCCAGTTGGGGCGCCGGTTCTGTCCTGGTCGCTCCTCTTCCAGCCCAGCTCTCTGCTGTGGCCCAGGAAGGCAGTGGAGGATGGCCCAAGTGCTTGGGCCCTGCACCCGCGTGGGGAGACCAGGAGGAAGCGCCTGGCTCCTGGCTTCAGATTGGCGCAGTGCGCCGGCCGTAGCGGCCATTTGGAGGGTGAACCAACGGAAGGAAGACCTTTCTCTCTGTCTCTCTCTCATTGTCTAACTCTGCCTGTAAAAAAAAAAAAAAAAAAAGACAATGATTAACTTCCTAGGAGAAAAACGCAGAATTACTGAAGAAATTGTTGTTTTTACTGGTGTTTGATGAATCAGCAGGAAATATTTGGGTGAAGAAAGGGGATTCCAGGCAAATGGGAACATCACTGAGAAGGCCAACATGTCCTGATTGTCAGGTGCGCTTTTGCTAAATCAGGGAAAACTACACTGAAAAGATAGACGGTAACCAGATTGTGCCTAACTGTGGAATCTGAATTTATTCTGTGGGTCAGAATTTCCCAAGTAGTAGTTAGTGAACTCCTAGGGTTTTTGCAAAGGTGCTCCAGATCCTTTAAATGTCATGTGATAGCTACTGACTCATGGCTTCAGATTGGCATGACATTTGTTACCATTTAAAATGTGTTTCTTTGAATCAGGACATCAGTCTTTAAAAATGCATTAAAAGAGCCTATACGACAGTTGGTGGGAACTTAACAAATACGTTCACCACTCAGTAACTCAGTACAGCACTCAAATGAATATTCCTAGCTGCAGTGGTAGGATTTACCTGTAGAGAGTTTTTAATGGATTTTATCTTAGTCACAAATCATTTAATAATTTGTGTCCATAATGGATCATTGGTTAAAAACAAGAAACAAAGGAAAACTGATGTTGGAATATAGGTTAGTGTGCTTACAAATGATCTCTATCTCAAAATGACCTACACCTATCACAGACCTAAATAATCTGAAAGCATTAATACCACAAAGCACCTGGAACTGAGGAATTAAAAATACAACATCTTTTTAAATGCAGAACTTAGTTCCTCAAAAGAGAGTAAGAGAAATCCCTTTAGCCCAAAAATAAGAAGAAAACTAAAGAACAGGAGCTGAAAGTCAGATGATTCTTCAGTGCTCTAGGTCTTTTGTACTGTCAGTCAATAAGAGACATGAGTTAAAACAAGGTAGGAACAAAAGAAGATCCATACGAAGTGCTTATTTGGAATTGAGACCCCAGGAGAAAGCCAAGACTTTCAACAAGCTATAAATTTAGTGGAAGTGTGGCCAGGGAAAATAAAATCTGTCCATCACACATGGAAGTTTGAGATCTGGATGGGAAAAAGAGCCTGAGAATTTTGTGATGAGTCTGTTCTCACACTGGTTTGGAGTTCTAGTTTAAACTCATTGTGTAGCCAGGAACTCTCAAACTAAGAATAAAAGTGGATGGTCATGGGGGCTGGTGTTATGGCATAGCAGGTAAAGCTTCCACCTACAACTCCAGCATCCCATTCATATCCCAGCTGCTCCACTTCCAATCAAGCTCCCTACTGGTGGCCTGGGAAAAGCAGTGGAAGTAGGCTGGGTGCTTGGGCACCTGCCATCCGCATAGGAGACCCAGATAAGTCTCCTGGCTCTTGGCTTCAGCCTGGCTCAGCCTTGGCTGTTGTGGTCACTTGGAGAGTGAATCAGCAAATGGAAGATCTCTCTTTCTCTTTCTCTTTCTCTTTCTCTTTCTCTTTCTCTTTCTCTTTCTCTTTCTCTTTCTCTTTCTCACTCACTCTCACTCTCATTCTCATTCTGTAACTCTGACTTTCAAATAAATAAGTAAATATTTTTAAAAAGTGGATGGTTCTCGGTTGGTAATGTTTTAGGGCAAAAGGCAAAAGTAAGTGTAATCCTTGTAAGGCAAAAATGAGTAGAAGAGGAAGGAAAAGAAAACCAGCTTGAATAACTATACGTTAATAAACGTGAAAACCAGTGTCCGGTGCTGTGGCCCATGTAGTAGGTTAAGCCTCCTACTGTGGTGATGACATCCCAAAAGGGCACCAGTTCAAGTCCTGGCTGCTCCACTTCCAATCCAGCTCTCTGCTATGGCCTGGGAAAGCAGTGGAGGATGGTCCAAGTGCTTGGGCCCCTGCACCCATGTGGAAGACCTGGAAGAAGCTCCTGGCTTCAGATTGGCCTAGTCCTGGTTGTTGTGATCATCTGGGGAGTGAACCAGTAGATGGAAGACCTCTCTCTCTCTGTCTCTCCTAACCAGTGGATGGAAGATCTCTGTGTATCTCTACCTCTCTATGTAACCCTGTCTTTCAAATAAAAGACATTCTTCACCAGACCTAATGAAATGATTTACCGAAGTTCTTTTTTTTAAAGATTTATTTATTTATTTGAGAGGCAGAGTTACAGATAGAGAGAGGGAGAGATGTCTTCCATCTGCTCGTTCACTCCCCAAATGGCCACAATGGCTGGAGATGAGCCAATCTGAAGCCATGAGTCAGTAGCTTCTTCAGGGTCTCCCAAGTGGGCCATCTTAACTTCTCTCCCAGGCACACCAGCAAGGAGCTGGCCCAGAAGTGGAGCAGCTGGGACTTCAACCAGCAGCACCCATATGGGATGGGGTTACAACAGGTGGAGGCATAACATACTAGACCACAGCACAGGCCCCCTTACCAAACCCTTTGAATATAATTCATAAATATCAATAGCATTTCTCTATTGAAACAAAAACTGTAAAAATATAATTTAAAATAGTGAATTATATACTTTACAATAGCAATAAAAAGGATAAATGTCAAGATTATAAATTAATCAAGAATATAGAGGACTTCATGTAGAAAACTATCAAACCCTAAAGGACATGGAAAGTGATGTGACTACATGGAAATAGGTTCTAAGGCTCTTGGTGGAGATAATTAAGAATTATAAAGATGTCATTATTTCCCAAATTAAATTATACTTGAAAGCACTCTAAACCCATACTTCAGTTGGAATATTTTTCAAGACCTTGTTAAACCCTAGGATTTACATAGGAAAATAACGATCTGCTAATATCTAAGCCAACCTTAAAAAGTAGAGCAAAAGAGAGACTTGTAACAAACATTAAGACATATTATAAAACTCTAGGTAATAAAAACAGGAACAAGTAGATCAATAGAACAGAATGGAAAGTTCAGACTCATGTAAATATGACAATTAGCACAATAAAGAGACTTCCACATATCAATGGGAAAATAATTCTTTATCAAGTGGCAAAGGAAAAACTGGCTCACTCTAAAGAGAAAAATAAAATTGAACCAGTAGTTAATAATACATATAGAGGTGGACTCCTAGTGGATTAAAAACTAAAATGTGAAAAGTAAGACTGGAATATAAACAAAATATTAAGAGAAAGCCTTTGTGACTTAGGGAAGAGGAGAACTGTTTTTTTTTGTTGTTGTTGTTGTTGTTGTTTTTAAAAAAGATTTATTATTTGAGAGGCAGAGTTACAGAGAGAGAGAGAGAGAGAGAGAGAGGGAGTGACAGAGAGGTCTTCCATCTGCTGGTGAACTTCCCAAATGGCCACAATGGCCGGAGCTGGGCTGGTCTGAAGCTTCCAGGCCTCCCACATGCATGTAGGGGCCCAAGCACTTGGTCCATCTTCTACTGCTTTCCCAGGCCGTCAGCATAGAGCTGAATCGCAAGTGGAGAAGCCAGGAGGTGAACTTGTGCCCACATGAGATGCTAGAATTGCAGGCCAGAATTTTAACCCACTGTGCCATAGCATTGACCCCTGGAGAAGAACTTTTTAAAAAATTCTTCGTAAAAAGACAAACTATAAGGTATATTTGTTAAAATTTTTAAAAATGTTAAATTGTGGATGTGTTAATTAGCTTCATTTAATGTAATGTAAGTACAAGTAGAAACAGCATATTATGCCCCATAAAAATATATTATTAATATTGTCAGTTAAAAGATTCTTTAAAGTACAAGTACCAGTGTTTGAGGCAGCAGGTAAAGCTGGCATCCCATCCCATGTGGGTGCTGGTTCATGTCCAGCTGCTCCACTTTTTTTTTTTTTTTTAAGATTTGTTTTATTTATTTGAGAGGGTTACAGAGAGGTAGAGACAGAGAGAGAGGGGTCTTCCATCTGCTGGCTGACTCCCCAGTGGTTGCAACAGCTGGAGCTGAGCTGATCCGAAGCCAGGAGCCATGAACTTCCTCTGGGTCTCCCATGTGATTGGCAAAGACTCAAGCTTGGCCCATCTTCCGCTGCTTTCTCAAGT